TTGTCTTTGCCATTATTACTTTTACTTGTGTCCTCCTTACTGTTCCCTTTGAAATCTACCCCGTTTTCCCTCAATGGTTACGTACGTCACTCCCTCCTGTGCCACAATTACCGTTCTCCATCTTTCCATACCGTTTTTTCAAAAGGTTTCACTGCAGAGGACACTTCCTTTTTTCGTTCATAAAAGGACAACAACAGTAAGGAAGCCAAGGCGGAGCCGGGCTTCCGCGCTAGTTTGTAGTATTCCTATTTTAAATCGATGGGACAATGAGCCCGTGACTTGAGGGTTAGAGCGTCAGACTTCTAGTCAACAAGTCCTAGGTGCGATCCACCAATAGATCTTCTACTTGATAACATTACGAACTACCTTAAGTTTGCTAGCCAGTCAAATAACTTCTACATCCAAGATGTCTTAATCGAAAGTCCAGCAGAAGTGCAAATTGCGGTAGGCTCACCTTGTGGGTCACAGATAAAGACACACCAAGTACCCATACAACCTCCAACAGAAGGAAGGGAAGGGTAGAGGCTCGGAGCCCAGTCATCTAAGTTTTCCCAGAATCCACAGTCTACCATTCTATACCAAGTATTAAGACATCTAAAGATTTTTAAGAGAAAAGGTCCTCTTCAAGCGCGCACAAAAAGAGAATTGTTCGTTGGAATCGTACAACTCTCCAGCCCAAAAACGCATCAGTCAAGTTTTCGCATTTGAAATGCACAGTGAATACACCTGTGAAGGCAGTAAGGTCTATACTAAGCCTTGGTTGCATTGAAATATCCTTCACGCAAATCACTCCATTCCCAACCCCCCAGACTGGGCTATTTTGGACGAAAAGTTCCGACGATAATGATAATGTATGAATACAGTTCTATTGATAATTGAAGTGTAGTAGGAAAACCGAATAAAAAGGTAGTACAAAAGGAGACATTATAAAGCCTGGAGAATGTCCAAGAAGTGGGGGGGGGTGAGACAAGAAGCTTGAATAGTGTAGTGAAAAGGACAAACTTGACGTCAAAAAGCTATCTGAGCACCATTCCGCTCAATTATCTATGCAAGATCCAAAAGAAGGACAAAATATAGCCATAACTGAGAGCAAGTTCACAAAGTGAACCAAAAAGAAGGGAGCCTACCTACCGTGGGCAGTGTGCTAAATGGAATGCACAAACGGCGGAGTTAAAACACAGAGGTAAGAAAAATACGGTTTTGCAGTCGCATATATGAACCTGACAGGGCAGCATCACCGAGACAGTCAATAAACACAGACAGACTTCGTTCGACATCGTCCTGTTAGGCTGACTTTAAACAGTTTTCCGCACAGGATTCATAGGAAGAGGCACTGTTGTATTACATATTGACTGTCAAAGGAGACTGCTAATTACTCAATTAGGAGGCAGAGGGTTGGCTACTTCCAGATCGCAGAGGCGTAAGCTCCTCCTCTTTAACACCAAGGACTTCGGCGACTTTGGAGTAGTCAGGATTTTCCGTAACTTGCTGTTGTTGGAAGGAATAGAGAACCCTTCCACCTAAGAGAAAAAAATTTTGTCAGCTAACTTAGGTCTTGAACAGACGCGAAGACGACTATTAAGAAAATAAGAAGATGCTTTTTGATAAATCAGCAATTATCCGTCTTGCTAGGTGATTAAGGTGAGTTGGCGAAAATATCAGGGCAAAAAGTCCCAAACAATACCAACAATAATTAAGCCAACCAGTTGAAGGATGCAGAAAAAGGAACAAAAAGGATGCGCTTGACTCAAAAAGATACAGCGACCAGACAGGAGGATTCAGAGGAGTACCTTTTTCAATTACGAGGAGGCCACCTAACTGCCAACCGTCGCCTTTTTGGTTACCCTTTACACCTTTGTCCTATAAGAGGAAAGGAAAAAAATGGTTATTTTCAGAAGAGGAAAAAAATAACATTTAATTTACACTTAGTAACGCACCTTGGTTTCTCGAACAAGTGCGCGACCCGCACTTCTGAAGAGCGAACCAATACCTGAAAGGACGCTCACACTGCCATATCCCATGGCCGCGTAAACCTCCTTTTTGGGGTCCAGGTATAGTTCTGGAGTGAAAAAAAAACAGGTAGCCAGAGGAGTGCAGATACAAACGATCGAAAATCGCTACTTTTATCGGGGGGGGGAATAAGCAAGTCTACATTGGTCCAATGTCGAAGGCAATAAAGATTCAACGAAGGATACGAGAAGTAAAGAGGGGGACGGCTAGACACGCATGTATCTGACACTCACCACCAGAGAAGAACTGCTCTCTCTGGAATTCCTCGACTCCATCAACATCATGGCCGACGCCAATTAAGCGCACACCACGGGAGTCAAGTGCGGACTGGAAGCGGCTCAATTCAAGCGCCTCCAGCCGGCAGAAAGGTCATCCAAACCTGCGGAATAGGACGAGTACGCATGGCTTCTCCTGTGTGAAAAGGAAAAACAACAAAAAACGGTGTCCGCGCTACATTAGAATGAAGCATGAGGAGAATTAAACCAGTAATAGCAATTGGCCGTGTATTAGAGGATTCATGTACTTTTAATGCCAGGTAGGCCACGAAGCGAAATGGTGTTCCAAATCTGCGGTTACGTGCGACTGGCTAATGACGGCTAGTAAGCCAGAAATTGCCATGTCAATCCCCGTAATCTTTGTTGATAATGTCTATTTACCTATCTATTATTAGCCGGTGTGCGGCTGTTGGGGGAAGGGAGGAGGGCTCAAGTGCCCCAAGGCATGACAGGATCAGTGAGTCCTGTAGCCGATCGGTGTGCCCCTGTCTGCCATTACATAAATGTGGCAAGCTAACGATTTCCGAAATTACTAAGCACGGTACATTAAGCGAATTTTGCGAGATATTTTATTGTCAGAACCGACATTTGACTGTTGTTTTCCTGTCAACAGTTTTCTTAAAAAGGCAACGAACAGCACACAAATTATCAGCCTTCACAGCAACCATCCAGTGTGTGTTCGTCGAAGGGCTCGTGTTTAGATTCAAGTTTGGTCTAGTTAAGCGCTTAGTTTTTCTTTCTTTAAGTTGCGTCTGAATAGCTTTGTAAGATGTCGGAAGGGCAGCACAACCATTGGTAGTCTGACTTCGTATGCCAGGGCCTCGATTACTTTGCTGGTGAGACGCAGATTCCACTACCAGAGACATTAGGTCCATTCTCCTCACTACCCGTATGTACTTATTAAGATGAGTCTGCAACTGTGTCGGTATTTCCGATATAGCTGATGCAGTAAGAATTGTAGTAAACACGAAAAATAATTTGTGTCGACCCACTTCGTGGCAGAGGAGCCTTAGGTTTCATGACCAGAAGAAGCGCTGAATGTAGCATAATTCTGTCCTTTTGCCGCCCGACTCGCTGCAGTGTTTCGGCTCATCATTAGAGTTTGTATATAACTGTGTTTGTGACATAATGGGTGCTTACTGCGGTAGCATTGAATATGCCGCGTGATGGGAGCTTTCTTATCTAACGTCGTCTTTAGGTGACTGTTTGTTTCTTTTTTTGAACGTGAACGTCCCGAGACAATAGTCGGTTGATGCACTCGGCCTTTATTTTGAATTAGATACTCGGGTAAACGGAACTCAGCGCATCATGGAATTATTCGATGATGAAGGTATCATCACTGTATCAAATCCAAAACGGTTGTCTTCAGATTTCAAAGACTAGGATTTCCGGATTTTAGAGAACTGCTTCCGCGATTAAGCTTGAAATCGGCGCTACCCCTATAAATACTGAGGCACGGTAGGATGCTGATCTCACGAAGGAAAAGTGCCTACTTTTGAAACGTCAGGACAATGCAGTTATGATTTCTGAGACCAACTCTTTATTAATATCCGGTGACTTGCCTCTTCGTCTATATTCGGCTACTCGGAGGGTATCCCAGCGTCCTCTGGGCGTTTCCGAATATATGAATTTCAAAGAATAATCAAACTAATAAAATTCAGAATTTTAAATGCAGGAAATGTCTTTAGGATCAGACTTGATTAATATATTGCTGGTGATACTGAAATATACTTTGCGAAGTATTTGGTAAACGTCAATCTACCCGATTCCGACCTCACACGATCAGGTAACACACGAACCGACAGAATTTGACCGGAAATCTTTTACGACTGAGTCGGGATACTTTCTAGTTAAATTTAACGTACCTTTTTCACCACTCGCTCAACATCGAAGCTGAGTTACTAAGACTCGTCGGGTTGGGCGGTCAGAACACGGTCGGCCAATCAGATAACGTGACTCTATCCAGCCTGAGTTTTTTTAGGCTAGCCTTATGCTAAGCCATGGTAAGCAGACGCTATCACGGTGGTGCTAGACCACGGAAAGTGGATGCTCTCAGAGCGCCCGAAACTGAGCAATTGCTCGAAATAATTAATTATCCCGGATAGGGGCATCTAACTTCATAAACAACAAAATCGACATTTCAGTTACTACAGATCTGTAGTTTTCGAAAGAAATGACTTTGAAATATCAAATATATTCGGCATTACTTATAAGAACAGCAGTTGTATCAATGTACATTGTGCAGGTGCACAAGGTCAACAATTTAATTCAAAACAGCATACCTGCCAGAATGAGTTGACGGCAACACGCGAAGCCTGGTTGGACGCAGCCTGCACAAAGCAAGCACCCAACTTTGCAATCGCAGTAGCCGACATCGACCTCACAACACAGAAAACAGGAAAACCGCACAAGACGCGCCCTCAGCTGCAGTTAATAAGAGGCATCGTGATTTTCCTTGTTATTTATATAGGCGCCCGAGACCGCTCTTCAAAATTACCAATCAGAATTGAGCAAGGTGATAGTTAAAACGTTTTGTCTTCTTTGCTATAATGTGTTCTTCTATATAAGGAATACGAAACACCATAAAGTAACATAAGCATAGTATAAAAGGCATATTTTTGACCCCCGTTCGCCCAGTTAGAGTTGGATTCCAGACTTTTTAAGTATTCTAATAGTAATGCCAGACAAATATCCCTAAGAGTTTGCCCTCGGACGAATTTGGACGCTTCGGCCACGATTTTTTTACCTCCTGATGCAGAAGCCACTCTTGACCCATTCCTTGATCAATATAAAATGTAATAGGGATTGTACATAGACCTCTACATAATCAAAAACGTGACAAAACTGTGACAGCGGTGTCGCATTCGACATAACAGATAATTTGATCCTCAAACCTGATAAAGAGTTGCAAAACCTGCTGCAGCTACTATCGTTGGTCACTCCATCCACCTAGCTGACTAGTTTAACTGACTTCGGTCGTTGGGAGACCCGCGTGCAGGAAAATTCTTACTATTGTTGACGACCAGTCAAAATGTACAAATATCCCTTTGCAACTTAGAGAGGACCTGCGCATCTGACATAATCAATTCAGCGCCTGCTGTAAATACTTTCCAAACTTTCGGTCACATTTCTGCGGATCAACACAGTCGTGGCTGATGCAGTCGGAGTTTCGACATCGACCGCAGGGACCACTTGATGGATTGCTCGAATTTCAGCAGGCTCTTCGTTTTCTGTGGCGCCAAACTTACCCTTGATATGTGGTTTCCGCTTTTGGGCACACGCTTTGCAAGGCGCACCCCCTAGCATTCGTCCTTTTTGGATGACGTACTCCTTCTTGCCCATCATGAAGAAGTGGGCCAAGTTCACTGCGCACATGTTGCCTCTGTGTGTAACAAGCTGTTGTCTTCCTCGGTTTTGATTTCCCGATTACGTTTCGCTGCTCCTTTGCATTTGACCAGCACCTATTGCGTTGCAACTTCTATCCAGGAAACCGGCCCATATCGACGTTCGACGGAACGT